TTTTTTTTTTTTACATTTAGACCTGATTCGTGTGGAGCTTATTCTTGAACAGTATATGAAGAATAAATCTAATTTTGTCTATTTTTTTCCTAAATGGCTATCTAGTTGTCCCAACACCATTTATTAAATACGATCTTTGTCCCAATTATTTGGAATACCACTTTATCATATACTAAATTTTATATGTAGTTGGGTCTATTTTGAGACTTTGTTATTCCATTATCTGTTCTTCTCTTCATGCACCAATACCACACTGAATTAGAGAGGATTTTTGATACATTTAGTATCTTGTAGGGCTGGTCCTTCCTCAGAGATCTTCCATTTCAGTGTTTTCCTAGCTATTCTTGCCTATCTTTCTATATGAACTTCGTTTCTGCTATGTGTATGAAATGCTATTTTTACATAATTTTATATTCTGCTACCTTGCTGACTTCTTGTTGTAGATGGTTTGATCACAGATTCTTCAGGGTTTTCCAGGTATACTAGTATGACATGTGCAAAGACAGATGGTTTTATATCTTTTTTTCCTATTCTTATGCCTTTCATTGTTTTCTCTAGTTTAACTGCATTGGCTAACAGACCAGGACAATGTTAAATCACAGTGGAAAGAGTAGGCTGCCTGGTTCCTGGTCTCAGTAGTTTCATTACCATGCCCCTAGGGTTTCCAATTAAGATGCTGACTTTAGGATTTACACATACATTTTATCATGTTAAGGAAACAGACCCCCATTCCCATTTTCTCCCAAAGAGTTTTTACCAGGAATGGGTGAATTTTTTCAAAGGCTTTCTCTAACTTATGAAGATAATCATAGGGTCTTTGGAGTAATATACTTTCTAACACTGAACCAACTTTGTATTTCTGGAATAAATTCCACTTAGTCATGACATCTTTTCATGTGGTATTGGAATCTGTTCCCTAGTATTTAAGATTTTTGCATCAATGTTCATAAATGAAAATACCCTTTAATTTTCTTTTTCTATTTTTTTTTTAAGATTTTATTTATTTATTTGTCAGAGAGAGAGAGAGAGTGTGCGGCAGGCAGAGGGAGAAGCAAGCTCCCCGCTGAGCAAGGAGCCGGATGTGGGACTCAATCCCAGGATCCTGGGATCATGACCTGAGCTGAAGGCAGACGCCCAACCGACTGAGCCACCCAGGCATCCCATATGCTCTCTCTTTTTTTTTTTTTTTTAAGATATTTATTTATTTATTTATTTGACAGGGAGAGACACAGCCACCCAGGCTCCCCTCCTGTATGCTATCTTTATCGGGTTTAGGGTATCAAGGTTATGCTTTATAAAAGCATCTAGAAGTTTTCCTTATGTACGTACATTTTTTTGTGTGTTATATATGCTGTCAAAAAATTCTGTAGCGGGCGCCTGGGTGGCTCAGTCGTTAAGCGTCTGCCTTCGGCTCAGGTCATGATCCCAGGGTCCTGGGATCGAGTCCCGCATCGGGCTCCCTGCTCTGCGGGGAGCCTGCTTCTCCCTTTCCCACTCCCCCTGCTTGTGTTCCCTCTCTCGCTGTGTCTCTCTCTGTCAAATAAATAAATAAAATCTTTAAAAAAAAAAAAAATTCTGTAGCATTGAGACTGTCTATCTCTAATCTCTGATTTCTAAGAGTTTGGTAGAAGTCTCCTACGAAATTATCTGAGCCTGGTGTTTCTTGTGAATTAACTGCTTAACTCTTTTTCTTCTATATAAATTGGTCTGGTTAAGCTTTCCAGCTCAAATTGGGTCAATTTTATTAACCTCTGTGTTCTTAATTACCCATTTCCTCTAGATTTTCAAATTTATTTGCATAAATGTGTACAAAGTAGTCTCTTAGTATTTTTGACATTTTCTCTTTATTAATAGTTATTTCCGGGGCGCCTGGTTGGCTCGATCAGTTAAGCATCTGACTTTAGCTCAGGTCATGATCTTGGGGTCCTGGGATCAAGCCCCGACTTGGGCTCCAGGAGTCTGTTTGTCCCTCTCCCCCTGCTCATGCTCTCAAATAAAAATCTTTTAGAAAAAGGTTATTTCCCCCTTCTCATTTCTTATTTTGTACATTTGTGTTTAGCACATTACTTTCTTGATTAGATAATGGTTTTGTCTATTTTTTTCAAAGAATCAGGATTTTGATGTATTAATTTGATCTACTGGTTTTCTGTTCTCTACTTGATTAGTTTCCACTTTCATTTTAGTAGTTTCTTCTTTGTGTCTTTCTTTTGTTTACTGCTCTTTCAATAATTTAATTCATTTATTTTATTTCTTCTTAATTGACTTAGGTGATTTTTAAAAGTATTCCACAGACTGACGTGTAGTGCTCTCATTATTTTTTAGAAGTCCTGTAATTTCTGTTGGTATATTCCTTTTTATCAAAAAGTTTTTTAGAAGGTATTTTATTTCAAGGTAGAAAACCTTTTTGGGGTACCTGGGTGGCTCAGTTAAGTGCCAGCTCTTGATTTTGGCTCAGGTCATGATCTCAGGATTGGGGATCAAGCCCTGCATCAGGCTCCATGCTCAGTGGGGAGTCTACCTAAGATTCTTTCTCTCTCTCCCTCTGCCCCTCCTCTCTCTCTCAAACAAAACAAAACAAAACACTTTTTTACTTTTTATTTCTCATTTCTAGTTTTTACTGAGTTGTGATCAAAGAGGGTGGTTTATGTATTTCTACCTTATGGGACCTATCAATGTTTTCTTTGTGCTCTAGTATATGACACAATGATCATTTTTTGTGAACATTTTACATGTTTAAGAAGATATATATATATATTTCTTTAAAGATCTATTTTTTTTAAGCAAGCTCTACACTCAATGTGGGGGCCAAACTCACAATCCCAAGATCAAGAGTTGCATGCTCTACTGACTGAGCTAGCCAGGCACCCTGAAGATAGATTCTCTTAGTAAAGTGTTCCCACATACTTTAAGTACTCTTCATATTTACCATCTCTTTACAATCTTTGCTTTGTTTAGGTATCCCAAGGTCTGTATTCCACTTTCACTGATTTCCTCTTTAGCAGTGTTTAGTCTACTGTTAACTATCAAGGTTTTCATTTCTAGAAGTTTTCTGATTGTCTCCCAAATCTATCCCTTCTTATTTTATGGATTCTACTTCTTCATTGATATATTTGAATATGTTAAAAATCACATTAAGTATTTGTGTGAAATATAAAGTCCCTTTTAGATTCCTCTAGTCTCTCTAAATCTTCAAATGTGAATTTTCCTATTGCTGGATACGTCAGTCTGTCTTGCCATGGACTTCTTTATGTGTTTTATACTTTTTTATTTTAAGCACATCTTCTTTGGACATTTTATTAAAGTGAAGTATATATTGCTGGAATACTTAACAAATTTGTAGAAGATATAAAAAAATGACTAATACACTGGTCAACAGAATCAAGATACAAAAAGATCTTGATGGAGTAAAATGAAATTAATTTAAAAAGATAATTAACAGATATAAAGGTAAAATTTTGTATGTGGGTTCTAAAAACTAACTATAGAAATTCAGAGATGAAGGAACTAGCCTAATATCAACATGTGCAAAAATGAGTTGGGGTTTTTGGTTGCTTGTAAGAGCAATGAGACAACAGTATGATATTGTGGCCAACAAGTTGATTCTGCGTTAATGGAAAAATAAGAGAAACATTAGTCCATTCTACTCTAGTGGTAGAAAACATGTGAAGTCCTGTGTTCAATTTAAGGTATAAAACTTAAAATGGAAATGTTAACAGAAATGTTCAGAAGACTGTGTCCATATTGGTGAAGGAACTTTGCTACCATTTACTCAGTATCTGTTAGATATTAGATGGTTTACGTGCATTAACTCATTTCATCTTTACAAAAACCAAGAGAGAGGGATCCTTCCTAGGGATAAGTAAGAATCAGAGAAGTAATTCACAGCATCTATTTATATCATGAATTTTGTTCTAATTCTTAGTTTTACTTAAAATGTTAAAGCCTCTTCAAACTCCTTTTGGAAGCATATAAAACACAAATTCTAAATCAATACATTAATTAAAAACTAGTTTTAACCGAATCTTAAATGTCTATAGAATGATCCAAGTTGAAACTCATGCAATGGATTCTCAAAAAGGTGCTACAAAAGCAATCCTGTGTAACAACAACAACAAAAAAAAACAAAAAAAACCCAACCAACCAAAACCAGAGCCTGAGCCCATCCCTGCATCAATTCCCAGTAGTGTCACATATTAACAGAGATTACAAGCTAGATTATACCTAGCTTCAATGATCACAACACAAGCATGCAAAAATTCCTTTAAAAACATGACACTCAAAGTCTTAACTTGTTCAGACATATATGTTAATGTTTAGAGTTAATATTAAGCAGGGATTCCTTTCCATGCAGGAATCTGAATAAGCTGAGATCACTTATTATGGAAAAAGGGAAGTATATCAGGAGAGTAAGAAGATTCAAATAATAACTTAAAAATATTTTACTGCTTATAATCTTCTTTAAAGGAAAATATTAATAAAGGAATATCAATAAGCAAAATGTCTCACATGTAACTATAGTCTGGATATTCTCTTCAAATAGGATTGTTCTAAGAACCTTGAAAGTACACTAATTTGTTTATATACATACAGTTGCATAAATGTTTAAATGTTATATAGTTGTAGACAAATGTTGTCTATTTCTCTTCCTCATTTCTTTACATCTGAGTTGTTATCAAATAAATCACTGTCTCCTAAGGAGAGTGGAGGTAGATGAAGTGGCAGAATAATTTTTCTAACATGTCCTTTGAATTTGTCATCATGCTTGACATTTGGTTTTAGGAGAACATGCTTCCTAATACTTACATAATCTTCTTTCAGGGTCTGAAGAAATTCCTGCAGTCTATCTGCTGTTTTTTCTGATGCTAGAGATATTATTTTCTGGTCCATTGTTGCACATATCAGGGAACTGTAGGGAAAGTATCAGAGCTGGATGAAACTTCCAGAAGTAAACAATTATTTTCTCTAAATGATTATTTTCTTTCCTGTTAACTATTTCATACATATTATAGACCATGTAACAGTGGGTACTCATTAGTATGAGTAGGTGATTTTTTTTTTTATTTTAAAGATTTTTATTTATTTATTTGTCAGAGAGAGAGAGAGAGCACAAGCAGGGGGAGCAGCAGAGGGAGAGGGAGAAGCAGGCTCCTCACTGAGCAAGGAGCCCGATGTGGGACTCGATCCCAGGACCCTGGGATCATGACCTGAGCCAAAGGCAGACGCT